TTTGACCGATCGATACATACCTGATGCAGGCAGCGGCACACCAATTTCATTCCCCGACGCACCACGACCGCGCGCGTCACATGCCCTCCTACTCAAATGCGACATGGAAGTTTGCAAATGAGGTAGATAATGCAGGAAATACCGTTTCAAAATTCATTTCAAAGAAAGATCTCAATCAACGAATCGGTTTATTGGCATCGTATTAAGGAACATCGCAGAACAAAACGTGAAACATATGCTAAAGTCGATGGTTACATGAGAAAATTCACCCATTATAGAGATTACCGGTAAGCCAAAGCTACTGCAGAAATAAGAACATTATTGCAACATTCAATAATCAATATAGAGTCTACGTAATAAATTTATTCAATCCACTTCGCGCTCACAGTTTTATTTGATGCCTATTTGGTCGCAAATGACGGTGAGCCTCACTGAAACGAGTTATTCTCTGGCATTACGATCGCAAGGCTAACGTCTCCTTCTCTTTGCCTTCCTGTCTGATGCATATTTTTGCACATGACACGGAAACATTAGCGAAATACCTGCCAGCCAACCCACCGAAAGGGTGCGTCGAATTATTGCAACAAAGATGTTTACGACGAAAAAGGACAAAACTACTTAGTAATATCTTCTTTAACACTTGAACTATGGTGGCCGCCAGAGTCTGACGTGTGGTACAAAATCATTCCAAGGGAAGGGGAAGGTCAGGGGAAAGGATTATTCTCAACATTATAGAATTTGAAGGGATGCACGTGCTGCATGAAGCAGAACAGCGCCATACCAGTCTACTTGGGGATGGACGTGGACATAGAGTGTTCAAACTTGGTAGCTGTACGGGGGGCAGGATGGGAACACTTATGCTGGGTGGCAGGACCAGACTCCGTGCACAGGAGGCGAGGCGTGCACGATAGAAATTTTGGGCCGCAAATTCATAACTTCTGCTCATGTGGGCCTAGAGTGTTCAAACTTGGTCGGAGTACAGGAGGCAGGATGGGAACACTTATGGTAGGTAGCGATACCAGACTCCGCCCACATGGGGCATGGTTGCGCGAAATGAATGATTTAGCGGGAAATCGTAACTCCTGCTTCCGTGGACCTAGAGCGTTTAATTTTGGCAGGATTACTGAGGCAGGATGGGAACATGTATGGTGGGTGGCAGGATGAGACTCCGCCCACAATAGGCAGGGGTTTGCGCCGAAATTATCAGTTTGGCCCTAGGGCGTTCAAACTTGGTAGGAAGCAGGCGGCAGTATGGGAATACTTATCGTGGGTGGGAGGACCGGACCTCGCACATGGAAGGCAAGGTTTGCGCCAAAATTTTCAGTTTGGCTCCAGGGCGTTCAAACTTGGTAGGAAGCAGGCGCCAGTATGGGAATACTTATGGTGAGTAGTAGGGCTGGACTCCCCCCAAGGAACGGGGGTTCCGCGAAATAAACGTCTGAAAGGAAATCCATAACTCCTGATCCTGTGGACTTGGGGAGCAAAATCAATAAGGGGAGGCAGGATGGGAACACTGACAATAGAAGAGGCCTTATAGAAGAAGATCCACTCACTTTGTTATTTATGATCTAGCTTTGACTTTTCGATATTTTTCATTCGACAAGAAGGGTAAGTGGTGTGATTATGAGGACATGAGTTTGGTCCACTTCTTGTTATTGGATTACGACCGCTACCCAGAAAAGTTTGTGATTCAGTGAAAAATCACGGTTTCTCTCTACTTCGACATCATTCTTAGCGAAACTTATCCGATTACTGATAACTTTGGATTCTCATTCAATGATCTATACGTAGAGAAAAGGAGCTACATCTCTAAAGACATCTGATGATCTATCTCTCGCTTAGCGAAACAGCGAAATAAACTACGAAAAAAGGGGAAGAATTTCATTAATTCGATGTTTTTCGGGCGAAGTACCATTGCCTCAAGGAGGAGAGCGCGGCGACAGCCGAGCGATCCGACTGGTCATACGAAATAGTCGACGAGAAAATTTCGCTGTGGCAACCTAGTGAAACGATCAGTGAGGCCAAATCACGGAAATGGAGAGAGAATCAGTGAACATCAGGGGAATTGGGGCCAGCGTCGTGGAGAAGGGGAATGGCAAACTGATAGCGAATACAGCGAACTCTTTGATCGGGATCGGAGGTGGAGAGTAGGAGCCACCAACTCCCGTAATATAAGAATCAGATGCAGACATAATGAAGTGTCTGTCAAGAATTCTGGCAGCACTTCAACCAGAGCTACCAGAAGACACGTAAAGGAAAAAGACTGCCATCTGCTCATTAAGAAATTAGCAATTCGAAATAAATGAAGTGTGGGTCACATCGCTGACTGTTTTCAAAGGAACGGATGAGTACGATTTTCTTCAATAACACTGTGAACGTCTCACTGGATTAGGAGGGTAAACTTCACGAGTTCTGCCCAAACATAGATATAATGGTAAACAGTTCGAAACGGTCTATATCGAGGAGTTTACAGGGGTTGGAAATGGGTATTCAAGAGAAACCGGTCGCACCCAAACAATAGGTGCTACAGTAAATGCGTGGGAGGGACATCATTTAACGATATGGAACCGTCAGACCATGCTGAGAGTACCTGACTGCCATGGCAGGTGCAGGAAAGCATCCCAAAGAGGAACAGTGACAGGTTTGACGGAAAGCTGCTAAAAGCATCCACTAATTCATTCATAGCGTTTGCTCTAGAACCGATGCTGTCATAATAATTAGAGGATTGTTCGACTACGAAGAGGTCAGAACGAGGAGTAGCAGTACGAGAACGGCGGTACGAAGCAGTACGAACAGTCTCATACAAGAGGCCAAACGAGGGATCAGTGTGTTGGCCAGTTGAGCGGTAGCCGGTACTTCGATCAGTATTATGACTCTTCCTTACTCATTTGTAGGGCAGTTAATTTCCTCCTGACGATTCGTCCGCCTTTTGAAACGTTTTCCTCGAAGAGTGATTGTGGACTAACTATATGTACATGGACTGCGCGCTTCGAATATGCTTAATTTCCTACCTCTATTCGCACATTCCCCACTTCACCAATTAACCTTACGCAGTTCGTTAGGTACATTTGCTTGTATAATTGCCCGGGAAAATTTCAGTTACTCTGCACCCAGAACATTCAAATTTGAATAAAACTCAGGTCAAGTGTGAGCACTTAGGAAGTTGACGAAAAGTGATAACAACACACGTGGGCTGATAACGCTGACGTCCTAAAGGGCAAGGGTCCGTATTGCCTTCCGTGGTAACAGGGGATCTTGGCACTTTGCTGGTCCTTGTATGTTGAGAAGGGACTGGAGATGGTATTGGCAGGTATTGGCCGATGATAACAGTTGATGATTGCTGATGATGAGCATTACAATGAAGGAGCTATTAGACCCACTCCGCCTTTCGTAATAACAACGAAGCCGTGGAACTCAACTATGTGAAAGAGGCGTGACCTGAACCTAGCCGGAAGCTGGTTTGGTAGCAGATATGGTAACAGCTGATATCGGCTAAAGCTGGGTATGATGTGGGCAATCAAGGGACTGTAGAATTTTGGTGACAGTAGCGATAAGTATATAGCACTGTACAGTAGATGATATTCTTTATTGAAAGCATCTCTCCCACGAGAGATTCTGTTATCTGGAATAATGAATCGGATGCCAAGAAATGCGTGAGGGTAATGCAGCAACAGTCCGCTAACAATAAGTCTAAAGATCGATGAATTGTGATTAAGGCAAATGATTCTCATGATCATTTCAAGAATTGTATTCGGGATTAGCTGTATTGAATCTTTTCTAACTTTGTTGAAGGCCGAACGTTTCACCCGTAAATGGCCGCTTTGCCCTGTCACAAACTTTAAAGGCACAGTTCACGATAAAAATGGTTTCCGGGTACTCCCCCTTGAAATACCCAGTGGCTCCGAAGGGACACGGAACAGGAAGGACGCTATCGAGTCCCAAAACTCAACAGCTGGGTAAGAGTGGGAGCCCCGTTACCGGATTGCCCGGACTCCCCACCCCTCAATCGTTGACACGCCAGACGAGCGTCGAGGCGATACAAATTGCAATATTCGTTCTATGACCCACACACAATCAGCTGATCGCCGAGTGGTTTTGCTGCTACGATCTTATCCTTATAAGTGAATGAATTTTTGCTTACCGTAGTCAGCTATTTGCACCAGGACCCACAAGTACAAAACGACATACACTGTATAACTCGTCCAAACGCCCCATCCTTCTTCATTTTTCTAATCTCATTCTCGTCCCTCCCCTTTTTGACGATTTTTCGTAGCCTTTTCTCAGTTTGGAAAACCGATTCACGCAGTTTGTTCGCATCGCATCGCACTATTTTCCATCTTAACTTCCATTTTTCGTCGTTATCTGGATTACCCAAAATTATCGTGAACTGTGCCTTCAAGTGGCCTCGTAGCGCCAATGCGATCACCGATCTGCCACATTCCGTCCCTCCCATTAGCTACACATAAGGGGTGATCAGTACCTTTGAAGTGTATGAGTGGTAATGATTAGAATCTCAAAAAAGGTTCCTTAGACGTTATGTGGGTTGGCAGAGGAACTAGAAACAGGAGTACGCACTGCTCACTAGGTAGGAGCTTAGTGAGATTTTAATAATGCCCGGGACACTATGAGTGAGGCATCATATATCACACTCGAATCCGCGAAATGGACTGACGACGATAAAAGCTTGGCTGTATTTTAACCCGATCAGTTGAAACAAATAGGTCTTTTCGTTTTCAAAACGGAGCCATCACAAACTTAACAAAGTGAAAGATAAAGAAGAAAGATACCCAACACAAACGAAGCACAGCATATAACCAGTTAAACAGCGAAAACAATGAAACTTTGACTAGTGGCTCATTAGTGAGACGTACCGAGTACCTTATTGATAACAGTCAGGGTTTGTTCGCAGCTTTGTAGCACAGATAAAATCTGTTTCGCGGAATCTTCATCAAATACCGGCAACTCACGAAGCCGATTCACGAGCACATTGGCTTCACCACCAGTAGTCTCCGGAAAATTACATCGAAGGCTTTTCTTGAATTGTGACTGAATCGGTTTGACCAGTCTTTCTCGTATCTCTGCCAACAGTGATGAATTGACGCTAAAACATGATCAAATGAGGCCGATTCCTGGATTTCGTTGCCTACTCAAGTGCCTCGGCGAGTTACTTCGTAATGAAACTTTTACAATGCCTTCTAAGACGTTTCGCACAAAGTATTGCTTCACAACTGCAATGAACAACTTCAAGTTACTTGCTCATAAATCACATCTACAGAGAGCTTGGAAGAGGGGGGGGGGGGGGGGTTTTATTNGGGGGGCGATTTATTGCTCGTGATGAAGTCATGTTGATAAGAGCAGTTATATGGATGACACACTTCGTTATTCTTATTTACTACATTTTAAGATTCTCCCATCTATTTCCATAAGCGAACTCCGTCAATCGCTTAAATGGGCGATTCAGCGTATTGCTCATAAATCTACGACGGCCAAAGGGGAAGCAGTTTCAGGCGCTCCACTCCTACTCTCCTTTGCATAGGCTCTTTCATTCAAGTGTTTAACCGGACAGCCGGGTGATCGCAAATTTGATCCCTACGAAGTTTGAGCGAATACCAAAATGATGTTCAGACTACACCATGAAAACTGTTGTGAAAGGAATGATTTGTATCGCGCTGCTTACACGAAAAGAGTCTACTGAACTACATTAATTCGCAATAAGGTGGTGAATGACAATGGCTCAAGTAAATCAGTGTTCATAAATGGCAGGTGATACTACGGGAAGCAACTAGAGATCTGTGGCTTAGTATTTTCCTACTCTCCTTCTATTTACTAATAATCTCAAACAGCAGCGACTCGCGACGAAATGCAGAAACGGCGAAACACATACCAATTACTGTGAGCGAAAGTCCGAGCGATTCGCAAAAGTGATTGATAGTAGGTTGATGATGCAACAGAACCGACGTATGACACATTCTCCAGAAGCCCAAGAACACTTCCCAGTTCACGAGCAAACACCTTCTCCTCCAAATTTTTTTCGTACTGATCCAACAACCATGATAGAGCTTGCGATTCGAACTTTGCATGCAACATTCCCTGTAAAAAGCTAAAACGACCTTAAACTGTGAAGCTGCAGGTGTTGAAGGGTGGTGGGTGTGGGCGAGCTTGAGTGTGATGGTCTCTGAAGTTGAGTGTTTTCTTTCAAACCGAACTCCTTCCCGCATACGGAAGTTAAATAGAAATTGTAGAAGTTGTAGTTTCACACAGGGTAAAGTTGAGTTATGTGATTTGTAAATCAAGAATAAAACATGTGATAGTACTACCAACTACCTTAGCCTTCACCCCAAGTTTTCATCCCTGTCGCACCATAGAAGCTCAAAAGAAAAATAGTAAAATGCCTCTAATTCACGACATCATTCAATACACCGCTTTACAAATTTGAGGCAGCCCAATACTTATTTCGAACATCTATGAGAACGTAGCATATAAGAAGACACACTAATAAATAAAATCACTTACAACCATGACGATCTTCTCTATAAGATTTTTCAATAGAAGAGCTTGAAACTCCAGAGAAATACATGATATGATATCTTGTGACATTTTCATGATTTCTAATTGATAAATTTCCAGGTTGGCATCGTCTATGAACTGTAGAAGTGAAATGAACAATTCCTGAAAACACACAGCTTCAATCAGATTTACTTTCAGGAAAGAGTGAAAAGAGAAAACCTGACTGATCAGATGGAAAGCAACTTAACCAACCATGTATTGTTTAAGATGTGAGGCAGTAGTCTCGCGATTCTCCTCACAGAGTTTCAACAGAAAAGGAAGAGCGATTCCTAGCGGTTCAACAGCACTTCCGCTCCTTAAATTTCTAATTTAACTGTGTACTGTATTGCCTGGGGCGTTTCATATGTTGTTCCTACATTACTCCTAGAAATTTAAATTTTTAGGAGTAATGTAGAAATAACGTATGAAACGCCCCAGGCAATACAGTACACAAGAAAAACCAAGAGAAAGAGAACAGGCGCTCTTTCCTTGGACCGCAGAGGAAAATCGTACTGCGCGCAGAGTACTGATCACAACTCCCTTTGCTGTGACGATCAATCAAAAAATTACCCTAAGGTACTCTAATATGAATGCGTTGTTCATACACACCTTCGCACACTGCCAGTTAGATACTCGCAGATTCCCTCAACCAACCGATGCCGCAAAAATCGTTGGTCGTATACACTGGGAATCAGAACTATTGGTTCGGTGAGTCCCACTGAAAGCTGTTATTGAGAGAATGTCTAAACTATAAAAATAACTCTGAAAAACCAAACCTACACAGCCTTGGAGAAAAGGGATGTCCTCTCGCATGCCAAATCAGGAACGGATACGCAGCCGCCTCATCAAACGATATCTTGTTGAGCACATCATCAATGAGTTGATCGAATCTGCAAGCACAACGCAAAACTTGGGCTATTCATTTATTTGTTTCGTGATCCACCAAACGAACGTGATTATTACGAGGTCTCAGTTCCATAGCCACTACCAAACCCACTCGCTGCTCACGAACATGTCTTTCTTGCTAGCTCAAAAACAATGCTGCGACGGAGTTTCTAAGCAACCTTTCAACACTAATCGCCTACAGGCTCGTCTTCAACAGGGGAATTGAACTAGCTGATCTGGGTCGCCACCAGTAATAAAATCGAAGTCGTCACAACATTAGTCGCACATGAAAGAGACTGAGTGGATTAGTCGCTTTTACATGAAAACTGTTTTTACGTTATTTTGTGGCACTGGACGATCCCCGTAAGGGGATATAACGTTGGGCGTTGAGTAATACTGTCATGTTCTACCCCTATACGTCGATGCTATACAATCAGCTTCCATTCAGCATCGCACTGTCCAGGCTAGGGGCTTTTGAAAATTAGTCGCTGCTCCTGTTGTGTTAGACCAGCTTTTTACCGACAAATAGGCAACTGGGTCTGGAGGGTGCTGGCAAAACAAGGGCCCCAATCCATACTTTCTACCATGTGTGTGCAGATTGTGCAGGTGCAAAGCCCCACTTCACCACCATTGATGCTCATGTAGCGCAACTCACTTATATGAAGTCTTGGGAGAGAATTCGCTGAAGAACGATAGAACATATGTTGCTTCAGTGATAGCGTGCTCCAATTCCTCGTCCTCGCTGAGTAACCGTTCGCAAAGACGTTTTTCCAATTTTTTCGGTAGATCATTGCAAATTTGGTCAATGAAGTCAGGACTCAAAACATAAAATATCAGGAAGTGTTGGCAAATTCTTCGTCTAAAAATTACCTTCCAATTCTAATAATCCTTTATTGCTAAAAAAACCTACTATTGTTCTCGAAAATTCGTCTTGTGGAGAGATCGTAACTGATATAACAGAATTCTGCTCAAGGACGGGGAAGTTCGCCAAGTTAACAGTTCGTAACATAAATGGTACTTTTCTGTATCGGATTTTAGCAGCCTGAAGACAGAAATCAACGTTTTCATCCCCAACTATTCCGACCTGAAAAGTTGAACTGACCGGAATAACTCCATAAGAAGTGATCTCAGTTCGTAATTATCCTCATTTCCGAAACTATAAGCTACTTTGTATATCAAGTCAGGCGTCAAATATCCCAAACCATCTGAAAAAAAAAGGTTCCTTTGAAAATAAGCACAACACATACTGAGCAGAGATAGTAAATTAAAAAGAAACACGCAAGAATATGCATTAGTTTTGTCAAAATCATGGTATATCCATGAGGGATTTTGAGACAGAAACTTTCGTTTTTTGTCTCCATCGGTTCTGAGAGTAGAAGAAAACCCGCAAATATAAGATACTTTCTGCTCTTCAAAGTTGAACGGATTTGCGACACGGAATATAACGATCTCTACTCGAACCTGCTTTAGAAGCAAGACTATGTGAAGTCTTGCACCCAGAACTAATGAAGAATATGTATAGAAAGGTTAGGTACATAGTCATTCTCATTAAATCTGGCAACGATGGTACCGGAGTGAGCAAGGAATTTTCAGTGGCGTTGTTTTGCCAACNCAGAGGAAACTAGAACAATGTTACACCTTACCATCTTGTTGGTCACGTTTATGTTTTAAAAATTCCTTGGCGTCACCATATTTTCGGTCTTCAATGAGTTGCAGTAAATGCAGTGCTGGCTTCAACGCAGCCACCATGCCTCACGCGAACTGCAGACGAGTTCGACATGAAACGGAAGGAAATGACCACGAACAGGCTGAAACGCTCACGATCATCGCTGTAAAATGTGAAGATGATAGTAAAACACTATCACTACGGAGACATGTATGACTAGAATACCACTTCTCGAAAAAACAAAGGCCAACGCTCGTAATTCAACATTTATTGAAGAACAACTCATAAAATTTTTCAAACCACCAGTATAATAAAAAAACAATGGAGGGTTCCATGAATAGGATGCGAGAAAGGACCTAGAAAAGGGGATAGAATCACACTCGATGAAGCCATATTGGCTACGCGAACTATGACAAAATTATATTGAAAAAGACAAAGGAAAACAAAGCAACAAATCAACTTGAGTCTAGAACAAAGAGTGACGGCAACGGTATAGAGTAATGCTGATAATAAGCTCAGGCCTACTTGCCTGCAGTAGCTTCGGCGGCTCGTCGAGCTGCTGCTCGTTTGCCGACCATTGCTGTGAATCCGCTTTTGATGGCTGTTACAGAACAACGTGACCCACAGGTATGACATTGAAGGAAGAACAGGCGAGTGTCTTTGGTTAACTCAGTATCGGATGAACGACACGTGTGGCACATGACGTATTCTTCTGAAACCAGTTCTCAAGTTAAAAATGCGTTAACATTGAATTATATTACGAAAAAAAATTCACAGCGAAAGCTCAGAATTTTTATATGTAATTCGATCGAAGTTATAGTCTGGTTCCTATCCGATATCTGCTGTATTGACTTAATTTTACCCATCTTTCCTGTCATTACTTCTATTTAGCGTTCGCCCTAACCCTCGATGAGTGTGGGAGGGAACTATTCCGTTGTACCACAACAATTTCGGAGTTCACAGTTCCCCTTAGGAATATTAAAACTATTTGGAAAAGTAATGTTGATCGCTTATGTAAGAGAAACTTACTAATGTATTTCCTCAATACACTTTCAAAGTGTTTCTGTTGAAACCGGCCTTTAACTATGAGGCAGTTGTTACCGTCAATCGATCCGGTGGTACCTGAATAACGGAATTGCGTGAAAAACCAAACTGTAGCTTAACTGCATTTGTACGGCCGCAAAATTTATGATATTTTTAGGGCGATCTAAAGAACTATTTTGTAGAAGTACCAAGGAACAAGAAAAAAAGAAAATATGAGAATTCCAACCAAGTTCGGCTAAAAGGAATTGGAGGACGTGCTTGTCTTGTCGTTTCATTAATCGACAAATTTCGGCAAAATTGGAAAAGGCGGTCTTTTTACTTCCTGCACGAGCAACCTGCAACAATGAACGACACGTTTATGTTAACAAATGCTCGAATAGATCATGAGTGCTCAGCTAGACACACTACGAATGAAAACCGTAGGTATTTAAAGAATATTTAGCCGTAGCTTCGACGTTAAAATCATAATAGAACGCATTGGAGGAGAAAATATTAAAATCAAGGAGGGTAACAGTATGAAAGAAGTTAAATTGGTGTTGAAGAATCACCTTCGAATAAAGGGAATGAGGGAAGCAACGGGTTAACCTTATAATACACAAACCAGGAAGGAGAAAAGAACTGTTATGTATCAAAACAGCAGTGCCTGGACACAGTTAGGCCTTTTGCTACCATGGCATTTCGATACCCCAGTAAATGATCACCATCAATTTAATTATCATAATGGTTTTTACAGCTGTAACAAAGCAATGTCAAATTAAACAAAGACCTAGAACACCAACCTCCGGTGGTTTCATAGCGAACTTCTTCTTTTCCCCGGAAAGTTCCGGATTCTTTTCCCGCATAATATTGAAGACCAGTGTCAAACATTCATCATAGGTATAATCGGGCCAAGGTCGTTGAGCATCGATAAGATTTGAAACTCCAATGCCAATTCCTTGAACATATAATCTTCATCAAATATAAGCATGAAGCTATTCACACGCCTACCTAAATCTACAATGCCATCATCCTTTTTTTCTTCCTCCTCTTCAACCTTTGGTTTCTTCTTTTTCTTGCCTCCAAGTTTCAGCTCGCCTTAAAATAAGTTATTCAAAGTAGTTTGCAGGCTAGAAATGATTCCTTGATAACCTAGATCATCAGCAGTAGTTTCAGGTGTAGGAGCGGGTTCGTCATCATCAAGTTTGATCACTTTTTTGGTCTTTTTCTTTTTTCCGAGATTGAGCTCCTGAAATTCAAAGAGATCACGGACAGGAACTTGACAAGTAAGTCTGAACTTGGCAATCATAACTTACAAGATCGTCGTCGGCCATAATTGGTAGTGATTCACCTAAACTACACAGTATAGTGCAGCATTAAATGATGCAATGACAAGAAAATCCGACAATAAAGAGCAAGAAACAATTATTGGGGTAGGTTTTGGGCCTATTGATTAATATGTCGATGTAATTCGAACAAATTGGAGAAAATGACGTCCTTTGAAGTAAAAATTAGTCCGTTAGAACCAACGCGCAATAAGAATCTGACGAAACTCTCTAAGAATTGGATGTAGCTGCGTAGAAGGTATTCCAAAGCACGACCAGAGAGCGGGGGATTCGTAAAGCACATAACATGGCGTTGAAGGGGGCCAAAAATCCCATCAACCGCCAAACTCTCCCGAAAGATGAGAAAATGAGAGGGAAAAAGCGAAAGTTGTTTTTGTAATAATTATGCCGGAAGTTCAGAAAATTCATTGGCAAGAGTGTGCAATTGCACTTTTGTTGGGGCACAGTAGTCGAAAACCTCAACGTTTGGTTGTTGTTCAAAACGCGGGAGAATTAACGTGGTAGTGACCATTGTCATTGCCGAACTGGGAGATTGCGAGGTGCGAAGAAGTTTGGTCAAAACCTGAACAACTGATTTTCCCGATCGGCGCTCACGTTGTGATATTTGCAGGTTTCACTAAGGAGCAGACTTCGAGGACGTTGTCTGCCAATCACGAAGAAGACTGTTCCAAGGAACAGCAACCTCTGTCATTGTACCCGTAGAGTTTATTCGAGTTTGCTGAACTATTGCCATTTCGAAGGCATCAATAATTTACGTACTTTATCTTGTCTGCTCATTGTAGGCGGAAAAGGTCAAGGTAAAAGAGTTTGGACTCTTCTTTGTCTCGCCTCTGTCAACTTACATCTTATTCATTGAGCTAACCCTCTTTCATTATGAAACTCAACTTAATTTGTTAAATGCTCCTCACTGGGCAAGATAGTGGAATATCGTGGCTCCGAGGATCACTTCCAGTCAAGGCCAGCAGGTTCGTTAATCACTCTTCGGTTAGATGGAACAGAAACACCTCCCACAGTCCTCAGGAGTGGTTTCCGCGATCGGTGCAGGATGGGCTTTCTGTGATGGAGAACGAGCAATTGGCTCTTCATAAAAACTGAAGAATCGGAGTTCCTTTATGTTTCTACCGATTCTTCTTAGCTCGGAGACGGTTCCTAGCCAAAGGAGTATAGTCTTTTCTAAGTCTTGGGATGGAAAGAGCACCGTAGTGGGTGAGATGATTAACTTCTGCAAAAAGCTAGGATGAGGTAAGAATTGAGCATTCAATGACTCATCAACTCGGGTGCTCCTTCCCTCCTGTGGCTCAGGTGAAAAAAAAAATTTTCACGGCTAAGAAACGCTCCTGAGCACTATTTTAGCCTCGTGAAACCGGCTATCCCTCCTTCTCTGGCTCCCCTCTGCTAGCGCTCAATGTTGGAAAAAAACACTGCTCTCAACCACATTTTCATCCCCTTGATTTGGGAGATCTCACCTAACTCTGATTCTGTTATGATGTCGCGTAGTTTCATTCTGACGTCCTCTGCGTTCCCGTTTCGAGGGTGACCACCAGCCCTATGCTATTTGTTCTATTTATTTTGAGACAATTTTCCAGAGCATGTAGTGCGTCTGTTGTAGACCCACGATTCTCCTCAACTATTCTTGTTATAGCAGTTTTCGGAACAGTTTGAATAACTTTGATCGACTTCCAAACACATTTTGTCTATTGATGGGACTGCTTTTATGAATGGCTACATAAAGGGCTGTCATAATAACGGGCCCACGCTATTCGGTTTGGAATATAAAAAAGATTGTGAAGAGAATAAATAAAACAAATCGGAGAGAAAAATGATCAGTTTGGATTATGATGGACACAAAAAGCCCAGCAATAGCTGGTTGTCCTGAATATTTTAACTGACAGCTGGTTGTTCTTACACACCAATTTCACCATGTAGCTACTGGTCAGGTCGACCCATTTCTTCCAGAACTAGGGAACTGGTGTGTTCTAACGGCTTGTGGAAGCTCGGTAGACAAGATTTTGGTAAAAGAACCAATTTGGTGGAGCTCGAAAGCAAGCTTTACCACCAGTTGCCACCCTAAGTCAACGCCCGCTGCTGGTGTTTATTGCTAAAGGCTACCTTTGCACTTCTCCATGATATCGTCTGATAGAAATATAGACATCTACATCAACAAGTTGAGTTGAGTTACTGTTCCTTTAACTATTTCAATCCTCTCTGTTATTTTTTTACATTTCTTATGGGCGGGCACTGAGTCCCACCAAAAGCCTTTTACCATTTCCAGCCAGAAGATCATTCAGCATTCAGGCAAATTTGGATTACAACCTTATCCTCATCTTTGCTTTACAAACAACCAGACTAGATGAATTTATTCACAGAACTCTGAATTAACTGCTGAAGCACTAAGCAGTACGTAATAAAGCGCAGGAAGTTGGTAGCCCTGCAGATTATGGTACAAGACATAATACTAGCAAATTATACAATAAAAAGTCACCCGTATGAAGAGAGGACATTACTCGATCGATAGGAAGAAATGTAGAGAGAAACAAGGTCGAATTAAATGTCATTGATGAGCAGAAGACTCTGGAGAATCACCGGTGGTTAGCAGAAAGGCGGTAGAAGACGAATTTAGAAGAATGTGATATGATAGATGAGCAGTATCACAAAGGTATTGCAAAAAATGAGAACACTACAATAGCCTCTACACATTTACATCCATCTTAATACACGCACATTTGAATGGATATCGATTTTGCGCGCACAAAATCAATACCTTACATGGTACAGCTGCTATGAAATCGAGATGAGATAGCAGTCTAGCATAGTACCTACGTATTAGTCCGCAAATGTAAATGACTGGACGAATGCGAACGTGGTTGGTTGCGCATGGTAGAGTTCGCTAATGGTGCGCCCGGAAATGCACAGCGCGGTGTTGTCATCGGCCCTCTCCTGGAAAGGTCAAGACTTTGAATATATCGAAAGCTCTACCGCAATGAGTATGGATTGCTACCTTTCTTTCGCTTCTCTTTGCTTTTTAATGTAGACAGCAAAGAAGCCGAGAATTACCACGGTTGCAGCACCCACAAGTCCTAAGGCGATTGCAGTGTATACCCTAAACGAGGAACACCTTCAGAAACTGAAACGAATGCGAATCATTGCATTCATACCTCATTCTTGCTGCTCGCGCAGCTTCTTCCTCCTCGTGAATCATGTCGTTCGAGAGATGATTGATGTCATACGGTGAGAAAGTGGAGAGCACCGGCTTTTCGAACTTTGGCATCTTTGCTAGCATTTCTTCGAGAGACGCATTAGCCTAAACGTTAATAGATAGATGACTTCAATGAACAGAAGACCTTCACGGACCACGTTGCTTCGAGAGAAGCACTACTTGGGACCTATCACGACGAGAGCTTAACAGACTGTTTTTAGCTACTGTATATTCACGGATTGTAAACCACAACCCAGGCAAAACATTTTGACATGCGAAGTACAATTTGGCCAGAAGTTCCTGCCTAATAAGCAGAAAATCTAGAGAGGTGTCAACTGAGACTTGCAAAAGACAGTGAATTTTGAACAAAAAATGAACAAAAATGATAAAGAAATAAGCGCAGATATAATACACGTGTGGAAGCACTGATTTTGACTTTATCTTATATTTATATATCTTCGTATTTAAAGCGTTCGATGTACTGGTTGATTCAGAAACGAAGAAAATTTCGGTCGTTGCTTGATCGATTCGATCGCAGCTCACCGGAAAACGCACTTGGCCTTTCCCCCGATATTTCCATGACTCTTGAATTCTACCCATGGAAGCATAATACTCCACGTGTCATATTACTTAACTATATGATACTGTGATTGCTTTGAAGAGGTAGGTAGTACTCACCTTAGCCACCCGATTGAATATCAAGCCAAGTTTTTCGCTGTTCGACTTGAAATGCTCAATAAGATCGGTTGGCAGCTTCCGTAAATCAGGAACTTCGCCACGAGAAAACGCGGTGATTATCTGTAACAATCAAGTCATATTTTGAAACCTGAATATATGAGACTCAAAGACTCTACAAACCTCGGCTGGAATCTTGCTCAAATTGTAACCAACGGGTAGGATTTTCAGCATGTCGAGCAGTTCCTTCGAGAACACAAAAGGTGGCGCGGTGGTAGTGTTTCTTGTGGAATACGATACTGGTGGAGTATTGGCCATGGCTGGAATTCTCTCCGGGACAGCTGCAGGTGGTACAGGCAGACGTGCCGTGTAGTAGTCCTGAACCAAGGTCCATCTTCGTAGTGAAGGAACTACAGATCATATCATTCGCCTAACGAATTACATCTAACAGCCGCAGGAGTTGTATAACCGGTCCCACGTGAAAGAGTAAAAATATTAGTATAAACTTATTGAGTCCAACCGTACAGTATCAACGTTTGTTAAGTCTGTACAAATTCCTAGGGGAAGATAAACCAGTGCACTCAATACTTTGATTAAAACCTTTGAGGTAGCTTTACTCCGAATACCTCTGAAGTCGGTCTCATCCGAGTAATTTGAGATGACAAAATTGTTAGTGGATTAATGACAGTTAATGCAACATTCACTACAAGATCATATTAATGGTAAGCATAAGTATTGACTGGAAAATCTGCGGTACTACCGATTGTTATCGTGGAATCCTGTGTGATCAGAAATACACGACTAAACAATACCTTGATCACTTTTGTCTGTTCTTCATTCAATCCGGGTAGATTTCTACCTTGAAAAACAGAGGCGACAATATCTGGTGGAAATTTCTCGATTGGTGGCAAAAACTAAAAAAGTACATGCAGCTAAAATGTCAGTGCTAGTGATAAAGCAATGTGAGCAATTAGCAAAGTTAGGAAAAGCAAATATGTTAGAATAAATTAGTAGTTCTGACTATTCAAGTGGGCTGCACAGGTGAGCTGATAGCATTCTGGTTAAAGGCACTGTTCACGAAAAAATGGTTTCGGAGATCTGCACATGGTTTGAATTTGACGCCCCCTCTGATACCATTTGTGCAGGAATGAGGTCGGAAAACGGTCTGGATAGGGCACAATAACAGTGGGGGACGGGAGGCCTCCGCCCCTCGCTAGGCTGACTACGAAATCTAATTGCCGTTCATCACTTTCGCATTGGGCGAAGTTGTCTGCTTGGGTGTGTTGTCTGCTATTGCAGACATTGCGTCGCCTTCCTGCAATCGCCCGAACACTCCCTTAACCGCCGTTCTTCCAATGTGAAACTCGTCCAACCCCCCTTTCCAGCTCTTTTTTGACCCTTTCTATTTCTTTTTGTTCATTGTCATTGTGTTNATCCTTTTTTGCGCTTTTTTCGTTGTTATCGCTTTATTCTAAAGTAGTTCTATGAATTCTCGTCAAAAAAGGGTACCCTAAATTTATCGTAAACGGTGCCTCTAAGTGCAGAAAACCCGTCATAAGGGTACAGGGGAGAAAGCACGTAGAGAAATTCCATTTTCTGCTCGTATCTTGTCTGCTTCGACTAAACACCATCGAACGTGTGAGGGAATGCAGAGGAGCAGACGATGGACGTTGTCTCATTTTCCCGGTTGTCCCCATTATCCGCGCAATGGGATACTGTGCCCCGAACACTATGTTGTGAACTCGTAAAATGAAATGTATTGCAAAGCTCAAGCATTTGATGAAGCAAGCTGATGGTTCGAATTATAAAAGCCAATGATAAAGCGCACGACTCTAAACTTAAAACAAGCAAACAGAAATTAGAGTTTAGCAGTGAATAGTCAGTAATAGCTGGTTATTCTATTCTATTCATAAGCATGTGAGAACAGATGCTATTTTCTCTGAACTTCAAGAGCTGGGACAGAGATTTCTGCTGAAAAACCAGCAGAGTACACTTGGCACCATCATATCAATTTTTACGTAGTTTAAAAAGTAATTGGTCTGAGATACCACAAACCTTCGAACCATTCTTCAGTGGTGCACCGTTTTGAGCCGCTGCAGCCGCTTCATGCATTTTCAACATGTACTGTTGAACAATACCATCCAGAGTTTCTTTCGGAATACCAGGAATCTGACCGCCACGAAGTACGTGAGCAATGAGATTCGGATCCAACTGGTAATAAAATGATTAAGTAATTGAATCATCTGACGAAATAATTACATGGAAAAATGGTCAAATACTTCGAAAGGACGTAATTTCACGTCGTACATCACCCATAGGGGCCAAGGCCTATTTTCAACCGCAGGATATTGTTCCACATGAAGTGCAACCGTAAAACTTGCAATTTCCTCTCGAAATCGTAAAAACAGGCTCATCCTTCGCCATCCCCAAGTGAACGCTCCTTTTCGGTTCCCGTGTCACTAATTTGGGTGTATTTTGAAAGCACATTTTCGCCGCTGAAAACCGGAGCCATTGCCCCACATTCGGCTCGATGCACTGACCGATCAGCGTTTCCAATGTTGTGCCTAACTACGCCGCCTTATGATGCCTAGCCTTCCTTCTTGGAGCTCAACGAAAGAACTTCACCTTGCTCCTCTCTTCTCGGAAAACCCTCATCACAGCTTCTACTCTTCAAAATCCTTTGTTATCTTAAATGAACGTCAGCAGAAACATTAAGCTCTTCGGATTGGACCAGCGCAAAACGGCCAAGCTACCCTCCTTCTGAGATTAACTAATTAACCGATTGTTCATCACATATGCCTTTACAATCGCAACAATGCCATGCATATCTAACCCCCTTGAAAAAATGCTGGCTGGGCGAACCTGGAGCAAAGGTATGCGACGCAGGTGACACACATGCAATCGGATTTCGGATCGAAACTGGTCGAAATCAACTGACCTTCTAACACCCATTTTATACGGGAAAAAGTTCCCTCTGAAAAAGTATGCAAGCTATCGACTGACATTCAAAAGTCGTTCCATGAAAGCACCAAAGTCTACACATTTCCAAACAGGAGCGTCATGCGTGGCGCGTTTCAGAGAAAAAAAATCAGTTCAACACTCTGGATAGAACAATGACAAGAATCCTTTCAAAATCCACTCCAAGTACTACCGAAAAGGTCGATCCTTTCAAAATCCACTCCAAGTATAATACTACCGAAAAGGTTGAAGTACGTGTACCAAGTTCCAACATAAAATACGCCAAAAGAGATTCGTTTCAATAATCTAATACTTAAAGATAAACAGATACCTTGCTGATATCGACATTGCCCATTCCGGGGACATTGACGACAAAGTTTGGTATCGACTGAATCAGCTGCTCGATGTCACTTTGAACTGGCTGGCCGCCAGTGGCGAAACGGACGAGAGGAGCGGTGAACTTCGAAAACGAACTTTGCAAAAGGGGTTCATAGGAAAAAAAGCAAAAAGCAGGTCCAGAACTCAAACCATGAACACTTCATTGGAATTACTTACTTGTTCAATAGCCGTATTCAGGTTCGGATTGGCTGGCTGAGCACCACCAGCAGCAGCAGCGGCAGCCGTCATATCGAGGCCAGGCATATTCCGCATTGATGGTATCGCCTAAGAATTTCGCTACGGTAAAGATACAATATCCCTGAACAACATAATCGTTGTAGAACTAAGTCACACCTGTGAAAGTGTGCTCAGAATCGGCAATCCAGCAGCGGCTTGTCCCAGAGCGCCACCCCCATTAGCAGAAGCTGCAGGAGGCGGCCTAAATCCTGGCAATAGAGCCGACAGAAGTGAGCTAAAATACAGTAAGTCAAGTCATGACATACATAATGGTAGGAAGGCCTATGAAAACTCACTTTTGACTTTGATCGCTATTGAACCCGAGAGACCTCATGCCCTCCGTCAAAGTGTCATTGGCTTTTTTGATCATCAGATCTTTGAGCCTGTTATAAAATAGGAGTTTAGCTTTCATTGATTGGACTTAGTAAGTCACAATGATTGAATTGCTTTCACAGGGTTTAATCAACTTCAGCGGTGAAGGATGACACCGACTGCACGCAATCAGTTGCAACACGGCTGCTCCCATGAGCAAATTCCAGGGTGAAAAGCGACTGTACAAAACAGAATTCCAAAGAAAAGAGATTCACCTGACACCAGCGTATTTTTCAGGACCTGCACAGGTGATCTCAGTTTGGAACGGCAAGAATGTGCGAACTCGATTTGTAACCAAATATCGGACAAACCAATCGAAATCATCGTCACATATTAAGTGATTCCCTTGAAAAGACGTCATAAGACTATGTTTTCATCTTGAAAGTAAAGCAAACAGAACACGTTAACAGAAAATCGCTAGGCGCTGAAAATTTAGTAAAGAAATCATTTCAAAGTAATATGTTCGTCAAATAAATCGATCAATTCGTACCATCAAGTAGAAGGTTAGCGATTTTTGTGTCGAATGTTCCCTCTTCAAAACCAGTCAGCTTGTTGTTCGATAAATCCAACCAGAACAGCTTCGACTGATGAGAAAATGTCCTCTGAAAGTGCGCAAAATCAGTATCTATTAATGATGTGTTTGAAAAACTAGAAAAATACCTTGCCGATTTTCACCAGTTCATTGTGTGCTAAATCCAAAGTCGTTAGAAATCGTAATGAAGCAAAACTATATTCATCGACTACTGTCAATGAGTTATTGCGAAGATTTAGTTGTTGTAGATTTCGCATCCCATCAAGCATTCCTCTTTCTGGAAGAAGTAAATCTCGCTTAATGTCTTACAATTAGTATTAACATTATATCAATGTAAAGGAAAATTGCAGTTGAGCAGAGTTTACTAAAGCGAATTACAACAAATCCAAAAAAAGAATGACCGTAAATTCTCAAAAAATTGATAATTAGGCTCTTAATAGTGATGAACGATTCAATAAATGATTCTCTGTGAAAGTAACGCAAAGTGCAGGTGTATGAGAACAATATTCTTCAATTTGGTGTATTGCACTACCTCGGTTGGGTTACAAGTCGAAGAAGCGACAAATTAAATAGGAACTTCAACAATCAATTTTTCCACCTTAATTTTTCATGTTTCTAGGTTATATCGAACATTCTTAACAGTAGCGCTCTACTGAATCAGGACCTGCATCCGGTTTGACTTTGGATAAGCCTGGGTACGGCACCCCTACAGTCTCACCGTACCACTAATTGCCTTTACCAACTTGAGGGATTAGACGATCAGCTACAGCATCCTCTTACAAGACTGAGTCAAACTTTTCTTGGTCCGTTTGATGAATCTTATTTATTGAAACAATTTTAAATGCGCTGTACTGGAAAAGAATGATTTGATGCTGCTACCATACGCACGTAACTGGATGAACCCATTAACGAAAAGTTTTCATTCATCAGGCCTTCCACCATTCTGAGGACAGTCAACTGGTAGAGGGCTCTCCAAGAAAGTGATAACCCTTTCTGACGGCCGCAAATTAGTACTCTAAAGAAATAACGGAGCAGAACGTACCAAGCTTCTGAATTGAGTTGTTCGACAAGAGCAAAACCATGAGCTGATCCAGCGAATCGAAACTATTCTTAGCTATTTGAGCGATATTGTTATCCTGAACAACGAAATTTGCCCTGCTTCCTTAGATTACGAGGATTAATAAAATATGAAAAATAGGTAGCAAATTACCTGTATACTAATTAGTTGAAGGTTGGGGTTGTTAGAGAAGGCAAGTGTGTCAATTTTTTCGATCAAATTTCCGTCTAACCGAACTTGTTTGAGACTGGTCAGATCTTTCAACTCCGGTAACTAAATCAGTTATGAATTACGCCGCCTACTTCCCCGTAGCGAACATAGGAATCAGCTTTCAAATGTTTCTATGATTATGATAAGAGGGCGGATGCATGACGCTAATAAACCTACTTTCAGTAAGAGGTTATTGGTGACATCGAGTATTTCGAGGCGATGAAAAGCCTGAAGACGATTTCCGTCCAGACTTCCGATCAAATTGTCCTTCAAGTATAGGTACTGTAACTGAGGAACATTCATGAATGCCATCGGATGAATCTCGTGGAGCTGGTTGTTTTGTAATCGAAGCTCTTTCAACTGCGGCAAGTTCATCAGCTCGAAGTTGTTGATCTAAGAAAGTGAGCGTAGAGAAATATTGAAATCGTTAAAGTAAAAGAGGATATCGACTAAATGCAACAGGTTATCTGAAAACATTTCTCTCCAACCTTGACCAATAAAAGGTATGGCAGGCTTCTGTGCAATGGACAATTTACGATGACATTACTCAAATACTGCTGCGATTCTATGATTGCTTTTGGCTCTTGTCTCAAAAATCTATAAACTCCTGTGATTCCGGACCATTTACCCCTCTTCCCTGTACTCTACCTTGGGACCAAAAACCTGCCCTTTCAATTGATTTGCGATTCTAACAGCCGGAAAGTTCGATTTCAAGGTTGTTTCATCCTGGTCTTGTACTCTTTAAACGACCCTTTTGACTCCGATCGAAACAAAGATTTCGAAGGTAGCCCCTCCAACATGTTGAAGTATCCCCCACTGATGGCTGACCACTGAAACCAAACGGTCATCCAACCAACCATATACCTACCTACGAAGAGGTAAACACAGATACTTCTGGTTCCTACATATATAGAAACATCACCAATTCTGTTCTGGCATAGGCCAGAACCCGCGGTCACCACCGCTTCTTCGGGGCGGGGCTTAAGTAGGAGATTGTCTTCTCGGTCATACCCGCTACAGGGGACGCTTTTCGACACTCTTTCCTTGTACGCCACCCGTAACCAGGATCTGTGCGGATTCAAATGAACTATCACTGAACCACCGTTTTTCTGTTCGTTCGTTTATCAGAGAGACAACAACCTCTCTGATTATATGAAAGGCGCCACCCTTCCGCCTACTCACCACAAATTCTACCAGAAAACAATAATACCGCAAAAAAAACAGAACAATTGTGATAAAATTGTGAGTAAATAATAATTCGGCTGTTAAAAGTCAAGACCTTACCTCAGAGATCTTGTTGTCGGACAAATCGAGATACATCAGTTTGATGCTATTCCTGAGAGCTTGTGCTGGTACGCTTGCAAAACAGTTCCCACTAAGATCAAGTAGCTCAATCTTCTGTTTGACTTCCGATAACGATGTCCTAAAATATCATCTCCAGTCATTTTCAAAAGATAAAAATTAAAATCTATCCTGGCCAAATATGGTCTCAAATATTTATAGCCAGTCAATTGGTAACAAAACTGTCAGGAAATTAATAAACATCGTCTACACCTTATAATAAAATTAATTCAAAGTTTCCATAAGCGAACGTTTTTATGACCCCGTACAACGATGGGTTGCATATGTAAATCGATGTAATGATAAAAACTAATCAAATGTTAAATTTTTCCTTGAGCAAATGTAGACAAACAGGCAAAATTTTTTAGCGGTTTTCTCTTTGAAGCAAGTCACAAACACAGCAAAAAGCGTCCTCTTGTTCGTGCCACAGTTGTTTCGAATCAAGGACAAGGACAACTACTAGGAGATGAGAGGAAATATTAAAGATAATTCAAGGTCTCCCGTCCTCATCAAAGCATTCAAACTCACGGCGACAGCGAACAGATCTCATTGTTTTCCAATCGAAGCATTCGAAGTTGCGATAGACCAGAGAATACACCTTCAGGAACCTCTTTTACCTACAATTACTCGAATTAGCTAGTTTTTTTTGCACAAAAAAGCTGGCATAAGTTGTCTATAATGGATGTCAATCAGAAGGCTCATACTATATGAAGACAGATTGACAGATTCAATTCGACCACTTTCACAAATACAAACAGCAAGAAGCAAAAGCAACAAAAAACAGCGCATTGGAAAAAGATCCTTTATTCGGCATCCTTCTTATTGAGAAACGGTGCCATTGGCCCGGTCACTAGGTTGGATCTCATTCATGTCAATCCAGCTAATCATTCCTTTCACCAGTGATACCGTTCACTGCCTACATACTATTTGGCGGGGAGGCTCCAAGACCAGTGGAACTCTCATACAATTATGGTACCAGCGGATTGCAGCAGCCATTGTGCGAGCAAAACCCTATCTCAGAACGAGATGTATAGAAAGGAAGGAGGAGAAATTGACTTTTCATACCTTATTTCCAAACAAATTCAACGATCGCAGTTGGGACATGTTTCCAAGGAGAGGGACATTTTTCAGGCTATTATTCGACAAATTTAACTCCTCCAACGTTGATTCCACACTTCGAAAGATCTAAAATACTTCAGTAAAGTGAAGAAATACGAGAGAGAGTCCTTTTCTAACAAAAGCTACTATAAGTAAGTGCGAAAAAATGCAACAACCTAGCGATTGATAATGAAAACAAAACAAAGGCTTAAGCTTCAAAAAATTAAGAAACTATATTCTACGGTGGTAGCCTCTCTATCCCTCGATCCTTAATAATTACATTACTACACCGCTTGCATGAGGACTAAAATGCTTCTCTTTAACACTGAAGCCTGAGCTCTACTTTTGTTTGATCTCTTTTGATCATTTGCTTCTCTACCTATCTACGTCTGTCCATCTGCCTGCCTGCGCACCTGTATAAAACATTTTTATTTCTGCTCGAGTCACAAAGTGGCCACAAAGGGTCCAATCATAATGAATAAAGGTAGCGGAATGGGAACAAATGGGAACATCGATACAGTAATTTGAACAGAAGTCGCTCCGATTTGGCAAAAAGGTCCGATGCCGTGTAATAGACAAAAGCATCGACTCTACTTAAACGCGAGAATTGCACTATTTGTGAATTATCGACTGTTATCGATCTAAAGGGTAAATCATGCGCCATGTACATGTAGGCATCATAGGTACCCGAAGACGGTTTTTATTTGAACTCCAGAATTGCAAGGTATAGAAATAGACTTTGGCATCGCGTACTGCGCTAAGTCATCTGTTAACAGAACTTCAACGGTGCTTCGTTCGTCAATTTTCCACTTCTGAACCTCTTCTTACCATGACAGCAAGCTTGGATGGACAAATGGAAAGGAATCGGTTCAGCGGTCAGAGTCACCCTAGAGATACACGTTCAGTTCTTTTGATCCCTCCCCAGTTCATAAGGCTCTGCTACAACTACGAAGTCAATGAACCTGTATCAACAATGAGAAAAGCGCTGAAGCGTATAAAGGAATTAGACCCTTATATTGCAATGTAGGCCAATTGCGTATCCAAATATAAATGCGATTTGGTGAACGAAAAAATTACGTGGTACATTCCAGTGCGATTTCCCGACCGAAAACCCTTCAACATCTTCCATTTTTCATTATTTTATGATTTGAGAATAGTTCCGGAGAGACGGCCAATCATCGTACAGGAAAACATTATACGAGAACTACGGTTACGATAAATCAAAAAACGCTCATACTCTTGTTGTCGACCTCAATTTCTCGGGAATCGCCGATCGTCGGGAAAGAATTCTGCCCTATCTTCAATTGTAGGTAGATACTTCGTAGTAAATTTGCCAGTAATTATCTCTATAGTAGAGTATCCTTACTGGAAGAGCCTAAACTCAACTACTCGAACGCCGCGGTCACTGCCCTCGTAACCATCAGTTTCGCACCTCTTCAAACTCCAATTACTTTGCTGTAATCGCAAAATTTGCCTCTTCGCGACTAATACTGGTCACGGTCATGGTAGTTCAGAAATTACGAGGCCAATCCTTTTTTGTTGTTGTTCAGGAATCAGGTCCTCGTGTTTTTATCCTCCTAAACAAATCCTGTGACGGTTCACTGCTTCAGACGAAACCCCAAATAACAAAACTCAACTGCTATGATGTCATTGGAGGCCACTTCTCTGCATGTAGCCAATGGATTGGGTTGCATTCAATCATTCCATTCAGACTTAGCCATTCTTTTGAGATAGAAAACAGATCGAACGATATGTTTCGGGGTTGGTTGAAGCACTCCAGTAGGTGCAGATTTCATATGAACCCTATTACCTTGTGTGATCGGGTATTTTACTCCTAGTTCACTTATATGGATAGTAGTAGCAGCTTTATACTGGTTTGACCCATATGAATTACCTTCTCTTCCAAATGATCATTGAAATGTTCCCGTCCGCAAAACTGAGCAAAAATTGAGTACGTGGCTCATCTCAAAATCGGACTGATGGGCGTTTAAGAAATAGGTCTGGGACCAAGTTTGGCCATGTTGGTCAGTACCACTCCATACATCTACCTTTCCCATGTTATACCAGTCCCCGATTCGGAGCGGTTCCTGCCCTATCCACCTTATGCGTACTACGGCACAGGCAGAGGGTTGTACTGTGTTCGGAGTCGAACCCGAATTTACACCTTTACCACCTCTATTTCTATTTATTAAACTGAAAAAGTATAAAGCAGAAGCACTATTGTGCCGATGATGAGAAAGCACCGTCGGCATAACAGTTTTCAACGGATATAGCAT